TTGTCAAGTGTGACTGGATATTTACTTGGTGTCAGGCGTAGCACGTGTTCGCAAAAACGTGAGGACAAGTGTAAATCAAAACGTGTCATGATGTATTACGAATGAACATATTCGCGTGCTAATATTTTCTTGTAAACAGCAAAAATTTCTTGGGCAATTTGTAATAATTAGTTGTTGTAGGAGAATGTTTTTTCTTTGTTAATTATGAAATTGATACTTTGCCGTGCATTCTACTCAACACTTTAAAAATATTCACTTAATATCCATCTAAGAATTTTTTTAAATACTTTATGGAGATGTGATGAATTTATTCATATTTATGATATCATTTTTTAAAGAAATATTTTTTAAAGCTAAGAATTGGGGTAAAGATGACCTTTAAGTATTGTATAGTCTGAAGTTTATTGATAGTCATGACCTTTTAGAAGGTGGATAGAATAATATCAAAGACTACCTTAACAAATTTCTGGTCAGGTCAGTAATCAAACTCCGAAAAAATACTTTTATTTATCCTAGTGACTTCTAGAAAATAGTTTAGTATGTCGACAAAAAACTTGAGCCTTAATCTGACGTATTTTTAAATAGAAGAATAAGGGAAATTTGTCGAAATGATTTAGCATTTTGAAATGTTTTCTTTGTAAAACTTATTTGTCTACTGTATTTGCTTTGTTACAAGCAAAAGAAAAACTCAACTTATTCATCTTTAGAGAATTTTTGAAGTATTTTTATAAATAAATAGAATAATGTTAGAAATATTTATAAAAATATATGATAGTTTTAAATATTATTTTCTTCCTGGTAAATAAAAATTCCATGTAACAATATGTGCGAATCTATTTACAATAGACATAAAGAGATATTTTCTATACATTTTTCATCATTCTTGACAATTTGTCACAATTGTTATGAAACCTTTACTCAGTGTCGGAGAAAAATACTTTCAACTGCACAATAATCGATCAGCGCGGTAATCCTAAAGGAATATGAGAATTTATATTCATATAAACTTCTATTATATGACTTGAAAGTTCCTACATAGAACAAATTTAAAATTTTAAAACTAGCCAAGCTACATTAAGTCGTGTTTAAATTTTATATTCACCATAAAAAAAAATCATGACATGATTTTTCTACACAAAAGTAACAATTCCAAGAAATACTATTTTAAATTTAATAATAATAAATGTCTATTGCTTCCGTATGTCATTATTATGATTAAAAAAACCATTAAAAATTTTTTAGCGGAATATTATTAAAAACATATCTAGAATAACCTGATAGTAATTTAAATTTAATTCATTTGTTCGTCTTTGAATAAACAAATTTAATAGCTTCCTTCAATGGCAACATCAAAATACAAATGATGCACAATCACGTGAGTATTTGAGTTCGTGAATAGAATAACGACTTATTTACGATCTCTTAAACAACTTTATTAATCATCTATTTTTTCACTCTATTAATTAATTGAAACCAATAAATCACTTACAATAATGACAAAAATAAGACTTATTTAATTATTCAGCTGTTAGACAACTATTACTTTTATCTTACCTATACGAAGTAAATAATCTAAATGTAATAAAATAGTTGATAAAAGTACGTATATCCTGTCGTATTGTAATGAAACAACCATTTAAATGTTGCTGGAGGCAAGGTTGGAGCTATTGGCAAGGTAATTTCCTACAAATATTTTTCATGGAGACATGCAAATCCCAGGGATGAGAACGAATGTCGGCATCGTATCAAGGGGTGTCGATTATCGATGAAATAATTGACGATAAATTTCTGTATGCTGCAACATCACACGCGACTTACTCCACTTATATTATATCCTCTAGTGTGTCTGCAGTTCTTCTCTTAAGTGTAAAGGGAAAACCGGACTAAGATCAAGATTGCGACGATAGCCAGGATCGACGCATTATCAATGGCGATTATCAATGCCTTCAGCATCGTGATTGAGAACGAAATATCGACAACACAACGGTTATACTTTTGCACGCAAGTCTAATAATAGGAACATGCAATTGATGACCATGTTATGACATGTATAATTAATATATATACATACTATGGTATCTACCTAGACGGGGTTTTGTTTCACTTATTTGCTAGTCTTTTTCTTATTGTTTGAGCGTAAAATTGTAGTTTACTCAAGAAATTAACCAATTTTTTCAGCTTATTCACTTAAAGTAAATCACATAATTAAAAAAGACCTTCGTATTTTTATTTTTATATTCATTTTGTAATTTATTATTCAATAAGTGTAAAAAATATGTTGTATATATTTTTTTTTAATATCCTGTATCGCATTGCCGAACAAAAAATGGAATCATGAATGTCATAAAAATGTCGCAGATTTAAAAATAACCAAGATGTAATAATTTTCAATTAAAAGGAGATTTAAGAGTCTCATAAAATCCAATTCAAATCAAGAAGTTTGGATTTTTGCCATCGAAATAATTGTAAATTACAAAATTAATTATATAGCTGAGTGAAAACTCTGTTATTTAAAAATAATTGATAAGTATAAAAAGATACTGATAAATATACGAAAAAAAAAAGAAATTTATGTTAAATTTTACTACTATTTTTTATAATCAGCAACAAAAGTTAGATAAATGTTTGTAAAACTTTATCTAATGACTTTCATTGCATTATTTATAGCCGTGATCTTCAGATCAACTTCCCCGTTTAGTGCACCTGTGATCACAATTCACTGTGTAAGTCACGATATGAAACCCAAACGAGAATCATCGTTAAGTTTCTCTGCGCTTTTATGCCACGCGAATTCAAGCAGATAAAATGCCGATAAATATACTAAAATTAGTCATTAAAAAAATATTTTCTTTTCAAATATAATTTGTTTTATAATAATTTACGTATTACGTTTTCAATGAGTTTATAATTGCATAGGTTATGACATGATTAGTATCATCATTGAATAATAAATTGTTTCTTTTCCCTTCATCATAATTATTTAAACAAATATTTTGTGATGATAAGAATTTTTTTAAAAATTTCTAATTATATATTTGAATGAATGTAGATGAATTTTTTTGTTTGAATAAATTGTGTACGTTAAAATATAAATTTTAGCAAATCACTAATAGATTTAATGAATTGTAATAGTAATTAAAAAATATTAATCGATAAGATTTTTGAGAAAAAAAAGTTCTCTTATATTTACATGTAATTTTTTCCGACTGAATAGAGGGCGGAGTAGTGAACAAATAATTGAGAGTGAGAAGATAATTACAGTTCATTTATCCATATAATTTTGAAATGGTAACCGACAAAAAATTACTGCTCATTTATCATTTTTATAAATTAACTCTGCTATAAAGCAAAATACTTGGTATTTATTTAATGGTAAGAGCATCAGTCTGTGGGCATAATAAGAAAAAAAAACAAAAAGGGGTATAGACGTTGAGAATGAACAAATCAATAATTAATTTGTGACTGATGATTGCAAACGAGAGGCTTGGATCATCTTCTCAACTCTTGAATAACCTCCGGGTAGTTTTAGATCGCGTGTCGTCGTGTACGCCCCCCTGCTTTTCTTCGGCTGGAATCGAATTTACGAGACGCATATTATCGACTCGACGTCGATTAAAACTAGACGATCGGTGCAGCAGCCGACCTTGAGGATAATGACTCCCTTGAGCTGATCGCGAAGGATAGGTTGTCTTCTCGCCATCGATAAAGAGCAAACGACCGACTGACTCATAAATATATACTTACATGCAGCTTTACCTCTGTGCATAAAATAACGAAAATGTTATTTAGAGAGTCGATAAAAATGACGATAAATAAAAATAGACAAGAAAATGTTGGAGAAAATAAATGGTGATTGTGCATCAATAGAATGTCGATTGAAATCAACGCCGGCATCATGAAGATCGGCGCGTGGCCGAATGGAATCCTCCCAGGAAACATATCTTGGACGACCGTAAATCCGATCTCGAGGATCGAATCCTCCACGGAGAATCGATTCCTCGAAGTTCCGACGTCTCTTTTTCCAACAGTTTACGTCGTTCCATGCTTGAAGTGGATAGGGATAGGTAAGAGGTAGAATATAAGAAGAAGCTGCCGCACTTCCTCGTTCCACTCTCGCATTCACTCGTTGAATTTTCGCTTGCTATTGGCTATTGGCTTTGAGTACGCGCGCGCAAGACGGTTATCGTGGATCGCTGCAGGTATAGAGAGAAGATACGCGCCGCTCTGATCCATGAGCGGAAATCAGATCCTAAGATCTGAGAGATCAACGACTATACGACTAACATATCACGAGACTTTGTATTTCGACTTGCCGGCTGTTTACATTCTTGACAGTTTGACGTCATCCATATTTGTTGTTTTCATTTTTACCATAAATTACTCTTGTCTTCACTTATTCTGTCGCCGCCAACAAAAATGTATCTATCAGGTCCCCTCCTCCTTCAGCAGAAAACAATCAAGACGATGGCCAAACAAGTGACATATATCTTGGACAATAAAAGGTCTGACAGTCGTGCCATGACATTACTTTTAATAACAGTTATCTGTTGAAACTACGGCTGATGGGTAAGTAAGTAAACCAATGCGTTGGCCAGATGACTATCAGGAGGATTTCATTCATTGTACCTTTGAGTAGGAGGATCGCTTGGAGGAATGACTACCTTCTTCCATAAATAATTGTCTGTCTAAAGACAATTTTCTCGTGTTCGTTTACTTCCTTGATTATATAAATACAATCGACTACCGATTTGCCGATCGATCGCACGAACCAAGGGCTGTTGTACTGCAGTCATCGAGGTCTTTAAAGGTTAATCGAACGATACGAGGATGCGCTTGCAGTTGCGCCATCCAACAACACGATAAGACTTTCACCGACTGCACGTGCGCTTATAAGAGAGGCCACAGGAATAGTTTATTCGCGACAAAGGAATCATCGGGGCCTTTTCTGCTTGTCAGATGCACTTCAAACTCTTTAGTAAATACATAAAGACAAGACTCACCGGTAGAAGAAGTAGGGTCCAAGGGGAATGTCTTGCTGCTGCTTGTCTCAGCCTAAGAAAGTCCAACAGAGGATCTTCAGCTGCTCTCAATGCATCCAACGTCCTTCTTGCTTCGACGTAGGCCTCCAAGTACTTCCAGTACGATGACCAGAAAGAGGCGGGGAATAATTCACCTGTCAGCAAAACATTCGCATTATCTACATCATCTTATACATACTACAGGTATACAACATTCAGAGCTGACCATTCTCATCCAAGGGTGCGATCGATCCGCGAGGATAAACTCTATGTCTTTCAATCATTCACCTTTCTATGTACACACATATTGATATATCTAACATCTGTTATTACTTTCATTATTTTTTATTGGCTCATTCGATTAATTGAAATATCTCACTCACCTGGCGTAAATTTATCACCGTTCCAATTGTCTAGTCTCTTTTGTATCTGAAACGAAAGAAAAAAAATTTTTTTTATTTTATTTAATCAATAGGAATTTACAAGCTTACTCATGGAGAAATCTTTGAAATAGATTGTACACACAATCTACAGACAATATTTTATTTTACACATCATTTTAAAAATTAATTTTTATTAATTCAATTTCAGAATCTTTATTGTATAATCATTTATTCGAAACATTATCACATGAATTTCAATAGAGAAATTAATAAACTCTAATAAGATTCATTTTAATAACAAAAAATATTCTTTTCAATGCCGAAAGAATTTTTTTTTACATTTTAATAAATTCATTATTTCAATCATACATTTCAACATTGAATAAATTTTTTTTAGTATTCTTGATCTTAACTGTAGATTACACACAAATGATATTCAATCATTAAACAAAAGAATTAATTTGCAATATTTTTTCTTACTTAAGTCATGTCTAATTTTTTCTCAAGATTTTTTTCTTTGCAATTTCAATCTTCTGTCTACTAATTTATGTTTACAAAACAAAGACTAATAGAATTAAGTAATTATCTTGAATGAAATTTGCTCAGATCTTAGATAAGAGGAATGATACAATGAATAGTCAACAGAGTGTAAGAATCATTCATGTATAAACTATTCCCTACTCGGATTCCTAGTACGAAAGTCTGGCTAAAAAGTGACAGGTAAAAAAAGCAAAATATATCATCAAGATTCACTGATCCTGACCTAAGTCTCAAGGAATCCTTTTGTCGTCCTTCAGTATACCCTTTCGTGACATGAATGATCTGTAAAATTATTCGAGGAATCAATCCACGTTCAATAGTCGAACGTGAAGTCGATGGTGAAATGCATCGATTGGAATGTTCATTATCATTAATGATGACTCTATAAGATTCTATGACTACTTTATACATTAATTTTCTGAGTAACAATTGCAGACGACATTGCCGGTTCTTTTGATCCGTATTATCTATCTGATAAATAATTATTTAATAATTACAGGATTAAAAATTCTCATTAAAAATCAAATCTAATCATTTGTGTAAATACTATTAAAACTAGTTCAGAATATTTAAAATGAAGACTCACTTCCTGTGAATCAATTTTACTCTGAAAAAATATACCGACAGTGAGTCAATAACGAATAATGAAACGCCCATTTGATCTTAAAAAAATAGGTTTAAAGAATTCTGAAAATATTAAAGTCACTAATCTGATGTAAGTATGGGTTTAATGAGATCAAGTAGCTGATTCTAAATGAAATAACAAGCCTTTGAGTCATATCAAAGTGTGAGTACAACAACAAAAATGGTTTGAAAAAATTAATCACACACAAGTTCTAGAGAAAACAGTCAATTATATCATCTGTAATGGCATATAAGTTGATAATAAAAACGCGAAAGCCTCTCGATTTGCAACGATCGATTGATCATCCAGTATGCAGCAAGATTTCTCTTCTATGAGGACTCAACTTTATACGAGAGCCGAATGGAAAGTGAAATTCGAGTTGTCATGGGACTTTCTCGACTTCCGGTAGACGCAAAAAAGTATCAAAAAATAATAATCAGAATGAAATTCCAGGAAGACAGGATCATTTGACATGCAAGGAACTTAAGAAGTTGATTGAAGTCTTAATGGAAGAAGTAATATGACATGGGTGCGTCCATACATTGTCGCTTGCCAACATGTTCCTTATCACCCAATGTATATCTATGTTAAGTACATGAATACGAAGGGAGGAATGACCTCCATGGATAATACCAAGTGTTGTCGTGCGTCTCCATGCATTTATGCATCGCATTATGCCGACGCACGAGTTTCAGAGACGACAAAATCAGGCCCAAAATTTTATACATGTAAATATGATGAGGAAGACGTGTTGTCTCTGAGGACGTACACTCAACTTCTTGCTTCATTATAAAGTCGAAAATTATCAAGAATACATATTTCAGTCCAAAGGATTCTTAATACCGTTAGAAATATTGATATCCATCGTCCATATCATTATGAGTATTTTTTTACATGCATGTATTATTTAATTTTCACACTACAGTGAATTTTTATGCTTCAAAAAATACGTCATTAACTATATTGAAAGAAAAAAGTATTATAAATTATATATTACAAAAAAGTAACAGTATTTACTTATTATCAATTGTTGGTTAAAGTTAGTTTGATGAAAAATTTTTTAAAAAATGAATGAAATCAGCTCTTCATTTAATAAATTAAATTTTCTCAATTATGCTAAAATAGATAAAAAAAGTAAATTGAAAAGGGCTTCTTTTAACGGAACATGAATATTTTCCCACTCCGTTTTGTTTAATTACTATTTTTTTTTTGTTTGTGCAGCTTAATCGACTAAAGAGATAACTGACAGCTCATCTCTTTAGATATGACTTAACAGTAAGTTTTTAATCTGATAGATATGACGTAAAAAGTAATCTAGAGCTCATCTGTATCATAATATTTTAAAATATAAAAGAAAATTTTAAAAAGTCAATCAACTTAGTTGGATTTAGATTGATACCGTTCCATTCGAAGAATTGACAGTTTCATCAATAACACAGCTATGTTATATTTTAATTATCCATATATTATTTTTTTTTTCCAAACATCAAAATGTACTCTGAGTACAATATCTTGTTATGTATATCTAGAAGTTGGAATTTAAAAGGAAATTATCTTTCCTAGCTACATTTTTTTCATGAGAAAATTTTTTCAACAAAACCATTTTAAAAGATTTTATTTATTCACTCGAAGAAGAATTATTGAATTGAGCAATGGATTTTATCAGAAATTGATTTATTGAATTAATTATTTACATTGTGAATCAATAGATATTTATTAGGTTAATTAGATTTATCATCTCACTATTGAATATTTAAGTATACTGATAAAAGATTTCATTCAATAAAATAAAGAAGAATGAAAAAAAAAATGATTTATTTAACTCAATTAATTTTCTTATTGGATCTAGAATTTTTTCATCGGTATTCAAATTAATTTAGTTATACAAATAGCTTCATTAAATTATTTATATAAATAACTCAAAGTGCATCAATGAAAGAAATTGATGAAAGCAATTTTTTTTCATCACCCACAGTTAATTTAAACTTATAAAATTTTTAAACAATTTTAAAATCAAACATATTAAAAATAATAACTCATTTCAAATGTAAAATAACATAGCGGTTTCTTTAATCTGATAAGTATGACACTAAAAGTAGGATCCCTAAGCTCATCATCATTATCATCTTTCAAATTATAAAGGAAAATTCTTCAAAACTAAATCATTTCATCTAGACTCTTTATGAACCGTTAGCTATTTAACTGGTATCAATTAAAAATACAAATCCATTTGAAAGATGGTCATTAAAAATGTAAAATGAAATAATTTCTAATCAATTTCCACTATTTCACAACGATGTAATCGATGCTCCATAATGCAATAGAATATAGAGAGGATCGAGCGAAGTAATCAAGCAGGCGTTGCTGCAGTGCGACTATAATCGACGATAACGGAAATTAGTCGTAAATAAAGTTCCTATCGCATTTCATGGGCACTCTATGGTCTCGCATTTCAACCTATAACGCCATATGTACTGGTGTTATAAATTATAATCGAGCTCTTATACCTACCACGAGCTATACATAGCTAATATATTCCAACTGCACAGAGTTGAGTTTAACTAATCAGAGATTTGCAAATTCGTCTGGCTGATATTCAAATTATAGGGACGATCTTTCAAATTCAATCTTCGAGAAGTCGTTTGTCACTGTAACAAACTTTAACTATTTCTTTTTTTTATGAAGCTTCAACCTTCACTTGGAGACATGATTTACCATCAACATGGACCAATAAATGATAATAACTGTCTAGCCTTTCATATTCAATACCTTCTAACTAAATTGTTAAATTTATTTAAATCATTCAAGATACCTTGGCTATTCGATGAATGTGATTGAAAATTCTAGGAAGATTCAACGGATTAAACGGATAAATGATGATTGAATAGCTCATAACAATGCCATTAATCGCTTCCAGTTAACACTACATTCAAATAAATAAAGTGACTGTCAAATATTTAATGAGAAATATATATGTCTAGTGATTAAAATCTACTAAAAATGTGATTTATCCATTTTTTGTATTCTGAAAAAAAAAATAAAATAAGTCGAGATCATTACACTTGTTATTGATGTTAATTACTAAGAGAGAGGTCACTTGTTCTGCTGAGACAGTAAGAAGGTCGTCACGTATGTAGGCGTTACCAAAGTGAAGCAAAAGATCAAGTCTCTAGTAGGCGTGCACAATCCCATATTATATCACCGTATTTTTTACTCTATTCTTTCCACTTTGTAAAATTTAATCAAGCATTCGAATTATGGATCGTAGGTAAATTTCTGAAATAAACACGTGTGCATAGTTGTTATAAAGACATACCAGTTTGAAGGTAGAATTACTGCTATGATAATAATATATGGCATTCAAACTATTTCATTATGTACATCAAATCTAAGTGATAACTAATATAATCCGACTATGCATTCCAAAGCATCGAGTTTCTTATCGATCAGTATTCCGGTATATACACCAATCTTTAGACACATGAGGTTTGAGTATGTTACTGTAGAGTAGGTCAATTTATTGGAGCAATAAAATCGCTATTATGTGATAGTGCAGTTTGTTTAAGTGTTTTTATCAGGGTATTTAATTTAATGATATTATTGTTATAAATGACATTCTTCAAATAGCTCTGATTGATGATATTATATCTACACTGATTGATAAATAACAGAATAATAAATTTATTTAATTTGAAAAACAGTTTAATAAATAGATGAATGAATAAAATGAGATAGAAATGAAAATGATTGTTTTTGAATAGAATAAGTTAGTTAGCTGTTACTTAATAGGATGATTTGGAAAAAAAATTGAGTAGTCATTCAAGACATATGAATAAAAAATGAAAGTATTTTTAGAAATTTTTTTTTCTTTTTTCTCATCAAATAAATATGTAAATGTCAAGATTTACTTTAATCAATTATTTAACTTTGGAGTGGTGAAAATTTATTATAAAATATTTTCTTTTTGAAACAAAATGATTGATTCAAAAGTGATGTTTTACAACATTTGTAGGCGAACGACATAAGTGTTTTTACTACTTGAAAGTACTGAAGAGACATGAAAGATATTTTCAATCAGTAAAAGTACAACTATCACTAAAATCATTATCAGGTTGAAAAGTAAAATTTAAAAAGTAAAAAGAAAAAAGATGTTGAAACAATTTCAAAAAAAAAAAACTATTCGCTAAAATGGCTTTTAAAACGAAAAATGAACGTTTGAATATAAAAAATTAATTTATAACGAGCTTGAGCAGGAAGTGAGTACTTAATTTAATGATCATCAATTACCAAAAGCAGTGGCTACGCATTAATGTTTCACGAAAAAATTAATAACTATTGTTTTTATAAATAGAGTCGTTATTTGAATGAATAAATATCTGACATTCATAGGAACAAATAAATTGATTTGACGATTATTGATGTTATTATCGATAATAAAAAATTGATCCAGAGCATTTAGTATAATTATAATTATACATTACCGACAGGCCATTTAAAATATGCATGTATCTTTATGAATATCAAGAGAAAGTGGATTCATTTTTAAAAAGTCGTCAAGTGCAATTTAACTCTCTCATTGACCTTGTAAAAAGACCGCCATGACCTCTCGCGTTCGATTAATTCCACTCAAAATCGCCAGGGCTTGTAATCAGCTCAGAGAAAGTGTTAGAACGAGAGAAAAAAATGAGTAGTTATATGAATCATTATATTTATATTGAATTGATAACTAGCAGTAAATAATACTGAAAGTCCTTGATTTTTTTTTTTTTTGAGATTTAATGAATCTCGTACGTACTCTTACTTCACACGTAAATAGGTAAGTAAGAAAGACAAGATGTTTTTTCAAAGTTATTGAAAAAAAGAACTCTCATGTGAAATGAACAAACACAAGAGACGAAAGTACATATAGACATACAGTAAGAGTATGTAGGGACGTGCGAATGAGGTGACTGCTCCCCATAGACTTACTGGAGACTTGGACTTTCTCCTCATGTGATAAAAGCGCACCGCGACGGTGGGAAATACAGGGAGCTCGTTGAAAAAGGCGTCCCGACGCTAAAACAAGAGTGAACATCCGGAGATCTTGTTGATTAATGTGCAGACATGCCTGCAAGCCACTTTTTTATAGGATCGTTTTATTCTGTGGTGAATCGATGGACGAAACGCCCGGACGCTTCACATGATGAGGACGATATCACTCAGGAGAATGTTCTTTCGCACGGAAATCGTGGCTAAAATTATCACGCATCGCTGGACGAGACGAGTGTTTTCATCAATTTCTCGTCTCTTTATTTTTTAGTCGAAAATTATATTCATCTTGATACCACATTTACCTACTCTTCCATCAGTATAAATTTATTCAATGATTTCTGATTGAATACCAAATAAAAAGTTTGATAAATTTATTTTCTATCGTTAACGTCAATTATTTAAATGACTAATTAATATTGTAAAGTGAAAATTTTGAATTGTCAACCAATTATTGAATGAAAAAAACTTTCACCGATCATTTCATGAAGACAAATATAATAATACACTGATTTTTTTGGTTGGTTTGTGATTTTTTTCTTCTTCTTACTATCAAAAAAGAACAAATTATTAAGAATATGTTAAGTTAAATGACCATAATTTAGTAAACGTATGAAACCTGATCTTGACTTTATTTTTGAATGTAAAAACAAAATTATATACATTGATGAAATTATGGTCATTTATCTTAATGATTTGAGGAAAAATTTTTTCAATGAAACATTTTTAAAGATGCAAAAACTTGTATTTTGTACAATAAATAAGATTTTAAAAAAAAAAAAGTGCTACGCTGACAATTAATCATTGAAAAATCTCAATAACTCATTCTCTCTACAGCACCAGTTTCCAACAAGAGTCAATAGAAGATAATACATAAAATAATTAAACTAATTTATCAAATGAGTTTCTAGAGAATGCGTACAGAGATCTATAATAGTATAAACTTGACAAATGCATTAAATGCATCCGAGTCAAGATGGTTTCACATGGCTTTCACATTTCCGTCTACGGATATGACACTATCATGCACGTCCACTCGTACTGCGTGTTCTCAACTTACGTACTATCACATTAGGTTCAAGATCGTCTCATCAAAACTTACTACATCCCCATATGAACTAACACCAGTTTCCTCTATATACACAGAACAACTAAACCTTATGCATCAGTGACGAACAAGTGAGTCGAGTTTTGCCAGGTGCAAAAACATAATTTACGATCAAGAACCAGCCAAGTCGTCGTCCATTGCAAAAGAGCTTAGCGTTTGAGTACTTATCTATTTTTAAAATGTCTCTTACAAATCCTTCATTATTTTGTTTAAGTTCGCACTTATTTACTTCTCTTCAAGTCAATCAACTAGTTAAGCTCTTGAAGGATAATAAAAGACTACAAATCTATCTGTAGCGTGTAAATACTGATGATTGCATGCTTGGAGCCACAGCAAACCAAGTGATTTAGTGTCAAATAAATATCTAAAAGAAGTAGTTATTTTTTTAAGTAAATAATGTTAATGAAAAAAAATACTTGAAACGAGCATTTGTTAATTAACTTTACTGCTGCTAGTAAAGTAATTTTGTGGGCAATATTTCCGAATTTATGAGAAGAAGATTGTTGTCTCTTGAAGGACGTTGTGGTTAACTTGCAACCTTAAGGTGTCTTCTTTCGCTTTGCCAAGAGAGCATTCCACTTAGATTTTTATATTTTTTTTGTTTTGTTTACTGAGAAATTTCTTATACCACTTACTCGAGTTCTTGCACGAATTTGTGGTTTCTCTACTGAACCAATCTCAAGAATCTCGTTGAGATATTGACGCAATTGATATTGATCATTATAAAAAAGAGTGCAATTTTACAGAGAAAAAAATGAAATCAGAAGAAGATATATATGTATTTTTAGAGTCAATGTTAAAAGTGTCTGATCGACAGTAAATGACCATATGAAGTAAGAAAATTGGATCAGGTATGAATGGCTTTTAAAAATCTAATCAAAATTACTTGACGCTATGGATACTAATGCGAAATAAATGATCTTGGAGAAGAAGTATTAAGTAGGGCAGTATGTAATAAAGTTCATTTTACCATTCGGAATTATATGGAATTATGCTAGGAATGTACAAAAAAAATCTATTAACTAATGTAAAGTGTTTTGCAGTCTTTTGATAAAGTGGTGGCTTCAAAAAAAAAAGATACTGAAGGGTCATCAAGTATAAAAGTTTCAAAATGATTTTCTAAGCACTTTTATAAATGAATGTCTTGGGGAAAATATTTATGAACGAGCATATCTCATGCATATTTGACAAATCTTGCCTGTATTTTATTTGTTTACCTCCCACTTGTATTAATATTCATGATTGTCTTGAAATACGAATGTTTTTCAACAGAACTATCTTATAAATTTAGGATGAAAAAAAAAATTTTTGCACAAAAAATTGTCTACTGCTGCACCTCCTGAGAATTCAAATATTTATGTGATGTTAAATAAATAAGTTGATAATAATATTAAAACGTTGTGATGTTTTGAAATTTTACATTATTTATCTTTCTTTACTCTTCAAAAAAAAAAAATTACGTAATTAATGAAAAAAATGATGTCAATGTAAATATTATAAAACTGCATCAAGACATATGTTAAAATAAATTATTTGATGCTAAATTTAAGAAGAAATAAAATTATACAGTTATTTTTAACGAATACTGTAAATAAAATTCAAAATAAGAATGTCTGTATGCTTGATACAAATTTAATGCTCCAGCACACAGGAGCGCGAACCTTTTTAATTTTACGATCTGATCCAGTCGTTCGACTCTTCGGCGACTTGTAAAGTAAATATTTATGAGGGTGCTAACCACCATCATCACTCATCTCGGCATGTTAATCCTCTTTCCTTCTTCTTTTCCCTAAGGAATCAGTTCTTTATGTTAACGCACCAGCAACTATATTTGTCTTCGTCATTCTACCTGATGAAATATTTTTCACTCTGAACTTCAACTTAACATGACTTCTCCAAAAAGCAAAAATAGTTGAAAAAATAAATTTCAATAAATTCAAATATTATTACAGAACACTGACTAAGCATCAGCAATTACAACGCGCAGTAATCATCAAGCTTACGCCCTCGATGATGTATTGAGCAAACTAAAATATTAGTTGTATAGTGCTACCATCTAGAAACAGCTTTCTCCAACAGCTGATAAGTTGAATGACGGCCTGTAAAACCGTCATACCGACAACAATGTTATGATTAAAATACTCACTCTATCGCAGAGATCTTCACTAACAATTGCTAGATCAGCTAGAGGTTCAAAAATCACATCATGATAGTTAGGATGATTTCTTGCTAATGGACGTGCATATAATTCTTTAGCACTACACAAGACTTCTCTGTACTCTTCTTCAACATGGAGAAGTTTCTCTGTAGCTCTATACCTCCTGTCTGTATCTGTAATTAAAAATAATCAGATGATTGGATCAAGTAGAGAGGCGCATAAATTAGTAATAAATTATTTTTACCTCCAATAGGATTGTACTGCTTTGCTGCATCCTCAATAAGTAAAACTTCACCGTGAAGCAAAGCAACATCAGCTGCTGGATCAACCTCAGCTCTCGAACCAGCCAAAAGCAATCTCGGTCGACATACACGGTATTTCAGAAGCACTGGGGCAACTAAAGCTGATACAGATCCAGGTGAGACTGCAGGTAACTGCAACAAAAATATATATATATATACATATTTTCATGTCTTTAATCATTTTTTAGACCTCTTAAGACTAGTACCATGTATAACAAGCTGAGAAATTAAGTTCTGATTTGAATCAAATAAACGAGAACTATAATCAAGAAGCATAATTCACCAATGAATGAAATCGACCCTTGGAATTCAAAATCCGATTTAAGAGTAAACGTCAGCTCGTCCTCCTTGGCCCACGACCTTGCAGAGACTACTCTCTTCGGTATATAATCTCGAGATAATTTTTGCTCAAAAAATAAATTATACGATGAGGAGGGAAAAAACGAGAGAAAGGACAACGAACTATTCATGATTGAAATTAAATGATGCTAACACTATTCATTCAAAGATATCTCAACGATCGATGAACTCTTTCTTAGTGTATAATAATGAATTATAAATGCGTTATATGTACATGAGAATGTTGGTTAATTATTTATAAATGAAAATTATTATTCAATTGAAGAATGATGTATTTTTTGTCATAGTATGTGAGAGAGATTAAGTATCATTCGAGTTTAACTGATGTTTATTAAAAGAATCTCCCAGACAGAAGAAATAAATATAAATGTGGATATAAATGAATGAATGCTTCATTTAATTAACGCGAATCTTCCGGTCGCGCGTCTCAATACCCTCGATTAAATTGTGTATGCTTGTATACTCTCACTTTTAATAACTTCAAACCGGAATCCTAAAGTTGAAACTCAATTACATAATTATACTGGTCTTACAGTCTGACCAATGAATTTTATTCTTCAATAAGATCATTTCCCTCAGTTTAATTGTGTTGGTACATTTCTTTTTCTTTTTTTCTTTTATTTTAATCAGCCTTGACAATTTTTTTTGTGTTCAACTGTTCACAGGAATGAAAGGATTGTAAATAATATTATATTATGCATAAACCAACTCGATGAGCTATTTGAATTAGCTTAGTATATGTCTTTTCTGTTTACATCTGGTTGATTTTTTCCAAAGTTCATACTTGTATGCATAAAAAGGTGATTTGCGTTAATCATCTTGTATTATTATTTCTTTTTTCAATCAATTTCTTCTTCCACATACTGAATATTTGCTTATTTAGTTAAGATATATTCAAATTCTTACATTTATATTCAACCTTTATTAGTTTGTTCTATTTACTTGATCTACTCAACATCAATTAAATATTGATAAAAATATATAGCTCATATGACAAACCATAAAACAAATATCTGAAGGTTGTTCACAGTTTTCCAAGGTATTCTTCAGATAATCAACTCATAAAAGAGGCGTTAAAAAGAATTATGAGAATGTTATGATCAAAGTTTTATTTTTGCCTTGTATTGATTTAGCAATAAAAAGGATAAATTGTATAATAAAGGATAAAAGGTTAAATTGTATATAAGATACGTTGACCGGGTGATTAAATGACTCTTGAGGGATGGTTTTCTTGGATGAAAGGAGCATGCGTGAAGTAAAAAGATATTTTTGTCAGGTGCACAGAAAGAATAACATCTATTGAAAGATATCTAAAAAGGGGAAAATTTATTGAAGGTAACGGTTACTGAGATAATATCTGAGAAGAGAGGGTAAAATAGCCAAAGAATATAGCGAAATAAGTTCAATGTACAGGCAAGGATTTGGTATAAAAGATGTGCAAAAACTGAGCAAAAATCGTAGTCTGATTTCAACATCTGACTCTTGTTGGTCAAGCCACGACTTACTAGCTTAAGAACAGTACTTGTAAGTAAAACTTAGTAAATTAGTAAGTAACTTATTCATTTACAACCTATCTACTTGTTCTTCGGACCTTGATGTTGTCTAGTGCGTGAAAATGCATCTTTTATCGTAGAAAATCAATATCCTGACATATCTCGTAAATATTTTAGTATTCTAACTTATCCATCTCATAATTACCACGAAACTAAAGCAAGGTCTCCGCTCCCAAGCAAGTTGGAGAAGGTCTTTCTTGCAACTCAAACTATGAGACTGCTAGCCAGATACGGGACGTGATAAGAATTTCTCCATGTTTATGTGTGCTTATGGATTTCGCACGTTGATAATAATATTTATTTAACTGATCAGAATTTATTAATGATTAATAAATTATTTGTTTATTAGTGAACAATAGCTTATAGCTGATGATTAATTGTTTATCTCTTCAAGCGAGAATAAATTCATGGTTGGGTGAAGATTAAAGTTTTTTTTATTGTTAATTAATATAACAATGCAGACTATTTTTATGCTGTAAATCATACCAAATGATGTAGTATTTGTTGATCATTTTCACTACGTGACAAATTTAATTCGTTCTTCACTGACACCCATTGGAACTTGTTTAATTAATTTTCTAACTTTCAATTAAAATCAATGAAGTTATATAAAATTGTTATATAAAATATCCAAACTTAGAAACGTATCAAGTAAAGCATTTATTAATTCAAATTTTAAATAATTAAATATTTCCGATAGAAATATATTTTCCTGATCAAAAAATAGATTTATTAAATATTCATGAATTTTCTTGGATTTAAATAAATTGTTCTCTGAGTATAGAATATTTTTAAATACAAATATAAAATTGTTATGATTTGAATATTTTGCCTAGAATTGATTAAGCAATAGAAAGAATGAATGGTATAAGATACGTTGATCGAGAAATATCCGAGTAGAGAGGGTAACACTTGTTGAGGGTTGTTTTGCTACAAAGAGAGGGTAATCTTCATTGAGAATGTTAGAACAGAAGAGAGGGAAATGACTATTGAGGAATGTTTTCCTAGGAGGTAAGGAGCATACGTAAGATGAGAGAAATATTTATCAGACATAAAGAAAGGGAATATTTATTGGGGGATATCTAAGAGAGGGTAACAGCCACAAAGAGATATCTGAGAAGACAGGATAAAATAGGCCAAAGGTATGGCAAAATAAGGTCAATGTATCTAGAAGGAAGAAAAAGGAAAGAATTTAGTATAAAAGATGTGCGAAAACTGAGCAAATATGTAGTCTGAATCCAACAACCAACCCTTGTTGATCAAGCCTTGCTCGGCTTCCACACGACTTACTGGTTTACGAACAGTACTTGTGAGTAAAACTTAGTAAATTTCTGTAACTTGAACACTTAGAAAATTTGTAATTAAAAAGAACTTTGTAACTATTCACTCATCATATTTATTCAATCAATAAACGTCATCTGTGTCAGCAAATCAAAAATCAACGTAAGTAATTTTCTTTATTGACAACCTATTTGCTTGTTCTTCAGACCTTGGTGTTGTCGAGTGTGTGAGAATGCATATTTTATGTTAGAAAAATCAATATCCTGACATATCTCATAAATGCTTTGGTATTCTAACTTATCCATCTCATAATCACCACGAAACTAAAGCGAGGTCTCCGCTCCCAAGCAAATTGGAGAAGGTCTTTCTCGCAACTTAAACTATCCCTGGTAAAACAAGCCTATAAAAACTTATGATTTTCGACAGTTTCCAATACACAATTTATAAGAATGAATAAAAACGTATCGGGTCTATGGGAAGACCAAAAATGATCTTATAACCATTCAATAAGAATTAATCAGAATTTATGAGAGTAAAAAAACTTTTCGTGAATTTTGTAAGTATATGTAAGAATGAATAAGAACAATATAATAAGTTTCAATAACAAATCATTGGTAAATAATATTTTTTTATTTCTGAATGAGTTTTATAAGAATGTATCAGACAAATATTACAAGATGAAAAAAGAATCTACTGGTGGAAGTGATAACAAGACTTTATAAGAAGCAATAAGCACATAATACTTTTAAATTTGAAAAGTAATTTTAAGTATTATTTCCCCATTGAAGTCATCTGAATCCCATAGAAACGGTTTTCTTTTTCACCTACAGAATCAAACTGCATCCCATTGGACGATGTGATGATGAAAGCATAATCCAATAAATATTATTTCCTTATTAAAACATGTCAAATTCTATTAAATATATTTCATTATTTCCTTTTGTTTAAACTGATTTTTTTTGTGGCAAAAAGATAAATTCCGATACAAAACGTGTTTATAGATTCTTATACAAAGTGATCAGAATATTTTCAATAATTTCTTATGAATCCCGATAAAAAAACGATCAAGTAGTTCTTACAGATTTTTATAAATATTGTAAAATATTTGTATGTCGCCATCTAATGACTATTAGACTAACGACAGTTTGTTAGTTAACGACGATTGCTTGACGATTAGATTGTTTATAGCAATGAGGGGACAGTTTGTTTATCTCTAGTTTTTGACTGAGACTTGAGTTGACCGAACGTATTCTTCCTATTTAATTAATAGCTGTCAATCTTTAATAAACTTTGTCCTTTATTTATTAATTTTCCAAAGTTGTTATTTGTTCTTATTTTACAATAGATAAAAATATATCGGAAAATAGGTTGAGAAATATGGCGATTTTTATAAGAAAATGTCTTATTGATTTTTATAAAATGTGTAATATTTCTCGTACAATTTTCTGATTCATTTTTATAAATTTTTTATCGAATTATTTAACCAAGGATGAGATCGGGAGCCAGTTAAAACGGGACGTAACAAAAATACGTTTTGAAAGTATTTAAGATAGTCGTAAAGGAGATGATATGCAAAAATGATCCTCTTCAATTTATAGCATCTGTATTTGCATAAATAGGTTTAATTTACGCTTATATAAAGTTTACATACGTTAAATTGAAGATGAAAAGCTGTAATCATCTATTGAGTACATTAATTAATGTAAATATGAAGCAGAGGTTCGAGATAAATATTGTACAAGTAGTAAATAAACGTAATTACTGCATTTATTGACTTAGTTTCCTCAATGTACCAGGTATTCAACGAGTTTTGCATATGCAGATCATCATTGGAGAATATGAAAGAATAAGTTAATATTTATCTTCTGAAGTGTATCAATGTTCACAAATTGATTTATTAATTACTATTAAATGAACTCTTCTATCAGAATAAAAATT